TTATTTTTGTCTTTATATAGGAGATTACTTCTAATATGATTTCCTCTATAGTCTCATGGATTTGTCATTTTGTTTCACTTGTGTCTTTTCAGAGATTTCTGGTGTGTGACTTTTAAAGTTCTCTATTTCAATGTCTCCTTTATTTGCTTCTGATGGATTAGATGTTTGAGATTGGGTTTTGCTTTTTTGGTTTGTTATTTTCACCTTTTGGGCTAATATTTGGTCTTTCAATCCTACTAGTCTCACCTATCAGCAGTGTGTATCTTATTGTGTGGTTGATATTAATCCAATTGCTGGGTGTCACAATGAAGAGGTGGGCCATTCATCTGTATTCCTCCTGCAGGGCCTGTTGGGTGGGTCCTATATTCTTTCTAAGTTGATGAGCCATATTGATGGAAATCAGCCCTTAGTTCCTGCTGTTACTATGTCTTCAAGTTGCTCCTGATCACCAGATTTCCCTGTTTATAATGTTTGTCTGGTCTGGGAACCTATTGTGTCATTGGGATTCTCATGATTTTAATTTTCTCCAGGTTGGGAGAGGCCTTCTTGGCACCCTCCTCAACCTACTTGATATTCTCTGTGGGGAGGAAGGACTCATCCACACTCTTGCCAAGCTTGCCAAGGTTCTAAATCTGGAGCATTTTGGTTATTGCTCCTGTTTACCCACTAAAAGTGGCAAGCTGTATTCCTATTTTAGGGGCAAACTCGCCGCACTGATGGAAGTCTGTTGAGGTCTTCTGTTTGCATGAGGGGTTACTGAGTCTCCCACTGACACAGAACAGTTAATCCACTGCAGTCCAAGTGTCTGGGTGAGGAGTGAGAGCTGAAGATCAACAGCAATACTAGGTCTAGGAGTTGGGGTGATGGTCCTAGAGGGTAGCGGTGGAATGGCAGGGGCATGGAAGAGGCTGGCTGGGGGCCCTGGCCCTGAGCACCACTGGACATCCAGTGTCCCAAGGTGGGCAGTGGGATGGTGGAGGCACAGAAGGGAAGACTCAGGGGTCTGGCCTTGCATGCTGCTGATAGTCCTGGGTCCTGCTTGGGTGGCAGGAAGGTAGGGGCCCACAATTTCATTCTTTAAAGGTCTAAATATTTCAAGGTTTTCTCTTCACTTCTAGGCTACTTCTCAGACTGTTTTCAGCCTCACTCAAGGATTGTTAATCAACTTTCATTATTCAGTTTAAATGAATCTTTCTCTATATGCTGCTTACTGTATATCCCAAACTAGTTTAGAAGTCCAGAATTTTTATAGAATTCTGTTGCCCTTTTCCATATAACTCTGTACAATTTATAGATACTTGGTCTAGTTGGTTTATTTACTATAGATCCTTAGTCATAAGCAAGATCTAGGAGCTCAGATATATCTACCTAGCCAATCATTATACTTACCCAGCCACTGGCACTATATCCCACGTGGTTCAGGCTTAGTATACAATTCATTCCACAGTTAAATTAATAAATAATTACAAATCAAATTATACATTTCATAATCCATTAGTTTGATCCTAATGAATTATTCTAATAATCCTAGTGGACTATTCTCTTCATGCCTTCTTGATGAAGAAATTGATCTCTTCCTTAATTATGGATAATGTGTTTTAGCCCAAGTATAATGGGCCAAAGAGCCTTCTTCAACTTCTCCAACATAATTATTTCCTGCCAACAACTAAGCAAAGTGCCACATCTATTGACTAGATGAGAAAGCCAGAATTAGACTGCTTTCCAAAAGCCAGTAAAGTGGATCCCTCCTGGCACTCATTTTATGTGCCTAAAGAAAGCCTCTGCAGGAGAACAGAAAGTCTGTGAATGCACCATAGGAATTCCCTATTGAATATTGTCATATTCCCCCCATTTATGAAGAGGCAAAGACTGTAAGAATGCACTGCTGTCATTCTCATCACCCTGTGAGGCATAAAGAATAGCTTTACCTCTGAGTAACATTTCTCTTTTCACAGGCTTGGGATGTACTGTTTCAACTAGGTAAATGATTTCACTAGGAAACATATCTCCACCTACGCCCCAGTTGATTAAGTCCAAGAAAATTAAATTTAAAATGACTCATGAATTGAAGTCCTTAGATTGTAACCATAACACTCTCTGCTGAGCAGTGTCTCATTTGATCATTCAATTTAAAATCACCAATTCATACCCACACATTCTCCTTCTGTCTTTTATTTCTTTGGATATAGTACTTTATCATAGACTATTTAACTTGTATTATTTAATATTTATCTCATGATACTAGAATTAGAGGCAACAAGAGTGGTTTTGTACTCTGATGGGATTGATTAACTGTCTCTATTACAACTTCTTAATGAATTGTTGGTAGCTTGTCAGATGACCTGTGAGTCACTCTACTTCATGATCATTCAAGAGTAAATGGGATTTGGGAATTCACCACATTAAGGAAAGGAGAGAGCTCAATGGATAACTAAGAAGCTATTGCAACAACAAAGGACAAAGGAGCCTGACAGTATTGACATTTTTTCCTAAAATGCCAAGTGATCAGTTTACTGGCCTTTTTTGTAATTCTTTCATTATTTCTTATTGTCTTTGACATAACATCTACCCTTCTGTACTGAGCATTGAAATCTTTCCAAATACCGGCTTCTTGCTGATGTGTCTAATGAGTATCTGTGCTGTACTGAAATTCAAGTTACAAAAGCAAAAAATAGCCCAAATTTGTTCTGCTGTCAGTTTTTTCCCCTCTCCAGCCAGCTTCAGTGCACTCTCCTCTGTTTAGCTCATGGTTTCCATTCTGAAATTTAACTTGACAGTGTAGGAAACTGCTGAATTTATAGCCTGTGTGCCAACATGCAGGTAGGAAAATGGAGAAAACAATGGAGATGCTTAGTAGACTCTTCCTAGCTGTTTATTACATGAAATTTCCTTCTTCAGTCTACCAGTATCTTCATACATCTCACTGACAGCCTCTTCGTATGGGGAAGCTGGGGATGTAATCATGTGCATGGCGATATATTCATCCCATATAATTATTGTTCTGTTACCAATGGAGCAAGGAAAAGGGATACTGAAGAGACTTCTAACAGTCTCTACCAAGTCTACCAGATTCCAGTCACCCAGGCTCACTATCCTCGTTTGTTGAAATAGTTACTTCTCTTCTAGAATAAAGGTGTGAATGTTCATAATCAAATATACAAGTGCTTTGGTAGACTCCCACCCAATACTGTAAGCCTTCAATAAAGCTAAAAAAATCACTACAACTAGCATTGTTTTCATGTTGTGTATATTTTTTGTTATCTTTGCTGTATCTACTATATCTTAGCATTTTGGCTGGTACCCAAGGGAGCACTACAGGCATTGTTAGAATAAACAAATGAATTGCCATTATCATTAGTTGAGATTTGGGGGAAACAGAAACAGATCTGTGCCTATTTCGTCTTTTGGCTTTAAAATATTTATTGAAAGTTTAACTCAATTACAACTGTATCCTACTCATGTGTAATATTTAGTATATGAATACAGTTAATTCTTATTAAAAGAGCATCATTAAATATGGCAGGTAGCAAAATAGCTGGACAGCCAGGCTTAGACCGGTGCAGATATCCAATTATTGCTGTAATGATTTAGGTACAGCTGTTTCCACCCCACCCTAGAATCATTCCAATTAACATTGTAAAGCCCCAGAGACAGGGTGTAATGTGCCAAATGTGATTGAATATTCTGTCTCCCTCTGGATAGGAGAGGACAGAACACAACATTTTATGCCAAAGCTGCAAGCACCTGGAGAGAACAAAGGATTAGGATGAAATCAGTGTGAAGGATAAAATCTGCAGGAGGACACTGGATAGAAGACACACAGGAGTGACTGTAACATGCTCCCATCCCTTTTAGTTTCTATTGCAATTTGCATTCTTAACGTATGAAAATCATTTTGTTTTTCTCATTAAACAGTAAACTGCCATCTTGCACCAATAAATGCAAGAAGCCAGGAGAAGAGCTGTTTGTCTTTTTTTTTTTTTTTGATGTTGTGTGTATTCTTAAGGCAAATGACAAAGATTATATGGCAGAGAGGTCTTAGAGTTGTACTGTAGAACTGTAAAGAGATGCTAAAGAAGAGTAAGACCATAAGACCAAATGGACCTTGCAAATTTAGTTAATGACACCTGTATAAATCTTATCAATAATACTGGAAAGTAGAAAATTCTAAGTACTTCCTTTGCTATAAAAATTATAATGTTTGTCTAATTGATTACTGAGCAATTGACCATGGTCTGCAGTAAAAAACTGAAACCAGATGGCTTTTCACTGTTTACCTTTGTAGATTTGCTGGGGAAGCTAAAGTCCATGACAACCCGGAGATTTATTTTAAAGTATGATTCACATTAGAACCATCTACCATCATTACACAAGTCGTTCAGATATTTGGAATTACTTTAATTTGGCAAATGTATCGGAAATTGTTTTTAAAAGATCACAAAGCTAAAATTACTCTCTTTACTTGATTGCTAGGAAAAATAAAATTTATAAGGCCCCTAAAATAAACTGGTATAGTGCAAAATTTATGTGTTCCTCCTGGATGACATTCTAACCAAGTATCAGAACTGTAGTAAATTAACAAATTTTACGTGCGTTGACCTAAAGTGCTCATTTACACTTCTTGAATAGTTTGGGTCTAGATTTTTAGGGTAATGTTTAGGTTTTAAAGTATGGATGGATGATAAAAATGATGTCTTTGTCTTCTCTTGGAATATGGAGTTTGTAAAACTCAAAAAAAGTTCTCTTTTACAGAGCTAGACACTGGAAAGTATTCTTCATATTTTTACTCTCAAGTATATTTATTTTTGTGATACACTTTGATAGATATATATATATAATCATAAAAATAATAAGCAATCAGATATTTAGTACTATACAAAGTAAAATAAATTTGAAGTACATGATTTAGAGATTGACAGTTATTCACAGTTTATAAGCACACAGTTTTTCTTTTTTTGCCATAATGCTAATCTTTTGATCTGTATGTTTTTCTTTCACAGGGCTTTAACACATTATTGAAACTGCAAACATCCACAGCAGTTCCATGTGGACAAATCACATATTTTGAAAGCTGGAAGTATCACATCATGAGGTATACCATGTGGAATCTTTGAAGCACACAATTCTGCCCAGCACCCATACAAAGAATCCCCCGCCTGGTATGTAAGAGAAATCCTTGCATCCACCATGACAAACCAGGAAAAATGGGCCCACCTCAGCCCCTCAGAATTTTCACAACTTCAGAAATATGCCGAGTGTGAGTATTTATTTTCATTTCACATTGTTGTTAAACATGGTATCATTCATTTACAGAGCCTCTTCACGATGGGAATGGATATGAATCTGTCTCTTGTGTTCACGGCAAGGATGAACTGAAACAAGCTTTGCACATGTGACAAAAAAAAAAAAAGGGTAGAATCAGCTCAACTTCAAATCTAGAAGAAAAGAAAGTAGGATGTGAGATGAAGTGTGGTTTGGAAACCCCCTGCACCTATGGCAGGAGCAGAGCAAAGGACTAGAATGAAGCCTGACAGTACGTAACAGAGAAACAGGAGGGCAGACGCAGAGGCAGAGAGGGAGTGAAGGGCGGAGTAAAAAACAGTGTTTTCCTGGAGTCAGTGTAGTCTGACTCAATTGTCAAGATCAAGGGGCAAGAGATTTCATTTCTTTCTGGTAAGGAGCCATTTCCAAAAAGACTGGAATTAGGGAGTCATCCACACATTCTAAAATTAGAATAAGAGAATTCCAAAAAAGTGAGAGGAGATGTCAAAACCTGAGGCAACATGTTTAGTGTGCATATTGATCTACACGATAGGCTATGAGAATTTGCTACACAGTAGGCTATTTTAAAATAAGTTTCTTTTTGCAAGTGCAGTAAGATTTTACTTGCAAGATTTTTTCATACATAGTTTTTCAGGAATACGTCTTTCCCACAAAATGATTTGGGCTAAAAATATAAACAGGAACTGGGTCGGGGTATTGAGGGAAGAAACTGAAGCAAATGAGAAAGAGGAGGCAACAAAGGGTTTAGGATCTGATGAGCAGGAAAACTGCAGAGCAAATGGGACGAGAATGTTGCCAGTGCAGAGGGAAACGAGGTGACTTGGTGAATAAAATGTAAGAAGTAGAAAAGAGGAACCAGAGAAAGTAAGCGAAAGAAGCATAACCAGGGGCAGTGGGCACTGTTACACAGAGTGAGGGCCTGGCACATAGAAGATGGGCACCAGGAACTCGAAGGATGCAAAGAGGCAATGGTTTAACACAGGAGGGGATTGAAAATGTGTGCGGAAATAAATCAGATGACCATTGCAAATTTTACCACATGCATAGGATATGTGACATCATTAAGGAAAACTAATCAATATTCTGAAAAGACTGGATTTGAATCTGTTATTTAACCTCTTTAATGAGAGAGCTGAGTAGTCCGAGTAAGGATATAAGAAAGTTGCTGAAAATTTTAAAGAGAGTTCTAAATCTGTAATTACACATTTGTACATATGTAGCCAATAATCTTAAAAATATCACTACCACTATGTTTGGGGAGGTCAGAAATCTTTTACGTGAAATAATTATCTTCACACTTAGAACTATGTGAGGTCACAGAAAGCACAACTCACTCACCTATCAAAAGGTTAAATCCAGTGCAAAATGACTGCAAACATGTGTCTTCATTCTTATTCTTCATATTTCCTAAACTGATACAAAAAGATCTGGCTGTAATTCCCAAATTTTGCATAACCCTTGCTACTGTGATACATTCAGTCATTAAGCCAATATTTCTAGGCAGCATCAAAGAGGGAATTCATCCTAGTTCTGTAGGAGGTGCAAATATGAGGAAGTATCGACCCTTCTCTTAAAGAACTTTCAGTTTAATGGAGAGTAAAAAATAGTGGAAAAATAATTCTATATGTTGTCAGAATCTTGTAAGTGAAACCAAGCAAAGTTCAAGGACCTAGAGGACTTTAACATTTATTTGGAGGTAGGCAAGAAAAAAATCTTCTTAAAAAATTAGGATGAAAGTATCCTGAAAGTAGGTATAATGTAAATGACAAGGTAAATGATAGTATATATCATTTATACACACACACACACACACACACACACACACACACACACATTTATATTCAATGTGGCTAAAATATGCCTCACCGCCCATAGGTGGTGAGGCATATTTTAGCCACATTGCACTTAAGGTAGCAAGTATCATTATACTTTATTAGTTAAGGAATACAGGAATGTGAGAGCATATTTTGATTTAGAATGATATTGCTAAAATAAATCCACTTTAGTTGAAAATATGGTCACTTGGAAATATATTTAAAATTTATATAACTTCCCAAGCATCATAGCTTAGCAGCACATCGAGTTCTGTATTTATCTTCAGGATCACCTTTCACTAAAAGTTGCAGCTCACAGTAGCTGCCCAGGGTTGCTAGACAGTATTGTAACTCAGAAAAACCTCAAAATTCAGCTTCCACTATATGAACGTTCTTTTTGCTCCATCAATGTAAAGTCAAATGATTGTAAGTGAGGGAGCATCATTGTACTGTAAGAAATGCTTGAATTGGTAATCGAGTTGTATAAATGTTTAAAGCAAATCATAATAAAAGTTCTTAAAGTATAAAATTCAAATGTACTGAGATTAAGGTTAAATATCTATAAATTGTTGAGTAAATTACACAGTATCTTTTTAAAGCCCATTGTTATAATGTATATTATGAGGAGGAAAAGTACAGTTTAACTGTAAAAGGAAAACTGGTTCTCACTCCATGATCAGTATATATGCCACTAAATAGCTAAGACAACATAAAAGTATTAGATTTTATTCCTGAAAGACATTTTTTGCATATTTAAGAAACAAAGAATATCACTTTTAGAATGTATTGGCATTACAAAATTGCCAATGAAAAAGCCTAGAACCAAGTCTATCATTTGACGATCTTACAAGTAATTCACTTTTCATGCTATCTGGTACCTGTGAAAATTTCTTGAGGGCATTTAAAGGTCCATTTAAAAAAACGCACAATGATATTGAAAGATGATATTCTTGCAACTCTACTAGAAAAGTATATTGGATTCACCTCTTGATACTATTCTTTGTCTTTTAATAAGCAATTTAATATACATTAAATGGGTATGATGTAGTTGTTGATTTAAAGGTAAATTTGCAATATGCTAAGAGTATTCATGCTATATATTAAATAATTAAACAACGTGATTTTTAAGTGAAATGGGGCTGTGGAATTCTTGAACAAGATAAATGAGCTCATGGGGTCCCTGACCTTGGAAAACCAAATCATGTGGAGCAACATAAAGATTACATGCTCAAATGACTCTTTTCCACTCTTCTGATACTGGATTCTCACAGTTACCATGATACACATGGTAACTACAATTGCTCTACTAACTCTTAGATGGCTCTTGAAATTAATAGAGCATCATCAGTAGGGTGATACTGGTACCACCTTCTTGTTAAGCAGATAGCACATCAGACATCTCGTGCGGACATCCTGGTCCCACTCTAATATGGGACTTTCAGCAAGGTATGTAACATTTCTGTCTCTTGTTTGATGCCTGTAAAATAATAAGATAGGAAAAAAAATATAGCTCCAAAGTGCTAAGTCTCAAATTGTATGAACTGTATATATGAAATAAGAAGGACAGCACTTAGCATACTGTCAGTGATAGCACTGTTTATAATTATTATATTAATAGAGAGAGGAATGCTGTGCTTGCTTGGCTGTTTGAACACACTGTTGATGACTGAGTGAAAAAGTACCATTCTGCAGCACAAAGAGTCAGTATCTTTTTTTTTTTTTTTTTTTCCTGCTATAAGACTCAATTCTGCTCACAAGGTAGAAGCTTCTGGTGCAATTGGCAGCCTTCGTCCTGTGTTGGCCCCACAAATGCTGGAGGCAGCTAACGTGGTACCTGCTGAGGCTGCCTGCAGCCTGCTGTGACCATGCTCCTGTTTAGGGTTTCAGGCTGAGTCACTCCATGGGAAGCATTTCCATTGATACGTGGGAGGGAAGGATAATTTTTTCTCTACTTTTTATATGAAGTCATCTGAACGGTTACAAGATAGAAAACTCTCACTCCTGCCATGCAGAGAATTGAGCTTATCACATTATTGGTCTGCGAATGTCGCCCACTGCGTTTCTGAGCATTGTGAAGGGTTAAGGAATTCCAAGTCTTTTCCTGGATAAGAAAACCATCTATGCGAAACCTATGTGAGATTTTCAAGTGATTCATTATCTGCCCACATATTGTCACTTTGGATTAGCTTTTTGTTTGACATACAAAGTGTGTTATACAGCATCTAAATTATTTGTGAAAAATCTGGGTTATTATGATGGGAACATTTCCAAACTTTCATCAATTTCATACAGTTTATAGGAACTTCTGATGTAGAGTTACAGAATAATGGTAAATTAAGGCCCAGTGGGCTAATGTTAAAATCTGTCAGAGATATGCAGCATGATCTTAGTGGAAAGAACACTAGGTTTGCAGACAACTGATACTTGATGGTAACAATGGAGTCCAATTCTGTCTTATACTTATTAGTAGTAAATCCTTGGGAATGTGATGTAAACTACCTGGGTCTCAGCTTTCTCACCTAAACAGTGGAATCAAAATGTTGCTCAATCTAGGACTTAATAAAACAATCGTAGACATCACTATGAATATTAAAATTTCACTTACCTCTTACTAACAATATTCCAGGATTACGTCATATAATTCTTACATAAACAGAGGGACGAGGTAGATTATCCTCCCTGGAGGGTTAAACATTGCTGCCAAATTAGCTGGCATGTGTCCTTCGCACAGTAAGTGACAACAAATATCAAAACAGTAGCAATTTGTTTGAGATTGATACATCAATTGAGTTTTTATTAATAGTTCCAAAATAAGAAAAGCTAGAATCCAGGACGGAAATGCTAATATTTGTATCAAGCAGTCTTCCTTTAAAGATTTTTTTCACATATGCAATGCAAAGAAGCCTGGATGCTAAATAAGGCATTGGCCCCTTGTGTGTATTTGTGGTCCGTGACTCTGTGCTGTGTGTGAACCCAGCAGTGCTCTACCTAACAAGGAAGCAGTTTTCATCACTCTACCCACACTCCCTCTTTCTATCCTTGAAGTCTCGTGCATTCTTCATGTAATACACATGGGGCTGGGCATGGTGGCCCACACCTGTGATCCCTGCTCTTAGGCGGCAAAAGCAGGAGGATAGCTCAGAGTTCAAGGACAATTTGG